ATATAGATGATGATGAAAATGAAGATAATGGATTATCAGAAGTAGAAGGGAATTTAAATGATGAGATTAGGGAAGGTGATGAAGAAAGTGATAATGGATCAAATGAATCAGATACCACAATTGAATTATATGAGTTAGATGGATATGAAAATGATTAAGAAATAATTATTTTATTTTAATAAGGTAATTTTTTTATTTAGGTTATATTTGTTATATTTACAAAGAATAAAATTTATACTTTTAAATAAATCAGTTATAGAAAAGATCATAATGTGCATTATGTGCATTATGCAAATCAATGTTCAAAAAGTTGCATAATGCCCATCTCTAACTGCAATGGAGTTGGAGGAGGAGTTGGAGATTCTGGATTTTTGTGGGTAAGAGATTGCATGTACACAAAAGCTTGTAACAACATAGATTGTTCACTAAGCCCTATAAAAAATTTTGCATGGAAATGTATGGGAAAATGTATGGAATTTGTATGGAAAAATGCGAATTTCAGGTAAAATTCTGTACAGTTTTCCATACATTTTCATGCCAATTTTTTATAGGGAAGGTTAAAAGCTCAAATTTAGGGGATGAAAATTTGGAATTATGGTATAACTCAGGGTTGGAAAATGTGCAGTCCATTGATGGTCTATTGGGTCCATTAATGTAGTACTTTGACCATATTTAGTATTTTATTAATGGCAATGGACCAATCCAAAATCCATCAGTTCTCAATGGACCAGTCAATTTGCTAACCTGGTATAACTGTCATATCTGGAACATTATTTTTGATCAAAGTTTCAGTAATGTAAAAGAGGCAACAGTATAGAGCATATACATGCAGCCCAACTCCTCCTTCAACTCCATTGCAGTCAGAATATGATTTTACGGATTCTGAAGAGGATCCAAAGTCAGAATTAGATTCTGATTATCAACCACCAAACCCTGGTAAAACAACACATGTCATGAACAGCTCTTTAATTGGAAATATTCATACTAATTATAAATAATGACAACAATGATAATATTCATGATCCATTCTATCATATCATCTCACTTGCCTTCATAATCACTATTTCTCTCAATAATTATCACTGTTGTAGCTGATGAACTGTTGTTCTATCATCATTTCTGTTTCACCACAAATATTATTATGACCACTATTAATATGATCTATATAATATTATACACATTTTTAAAAATTCATGAAATTTTTAAGGAAAAAGTTTTTAGTTCTATATAGTTTATTTTTATGTAAAATTTTGCAAAAATACAAATTCAAAAAATATCCAAAAATGAAAATCGCAAATTTGATTTAAGTTTGTTTTTTTTAAACCAAAAAAATAATTATGAATGATAGAAGTGTGGGTTTTATATAAATATTCTTCACGGCCTAAGCTACATGATGATATAAATTTTATTTATAGTGTGTGATCAATAAAAAATGAGGTTCTGATAGCATAGTGGACTTTCAATTTTATCACTAAATGCGACATAAAGTGATGATCATATTTATATTGTTCAACTAACAAAATTAATTGAAAAAGTATAGTGCAAGTCACTTAGTCCCACAACTTTCTGCGCCACACCGCCAATTTTGGGAAAAATTCCCAATCAAAAAT